ACTGCACACGAGGTAGATGATGAGCGTGTTCTCCAGGAGGGTCAGCATGTAGAGAGTCAGGAAGACGGCAAACAGGACATCCCTTATGTCTGCCCTGGTGGACAAGCCCAGCAAGACAAACTCCCGGACTCTGGTCATGTTGCCTGCCTCCAGGGACCTCTCCATCTGAGGAGAGACAAAGTTTGTTGACATCCTGGTTTCTTCAGAGACACAGTAGTTAAGAAAAAATTAGGAAATTGTTCACAATGCATGGAGACCCTAGGACTGGGTTAGCCAGCTTCTGTTGGAAACTGACTATTACAGACAAATGCTGAGTAGAATCTGTGGGCCAAACTCTGAGCATGAGATCACAGTCTTTACTCGGATTGGCCTTACTAAGTTTGTGTCCTTACACAATCAGACCTCCTGAAAATTGGGAGAGAATCATTGGCTTCCCATGAGCTTGTTTTAATAAATAAAGGAATGGATGGGAATTGGTATACCAAATAAGAAATAGGGATTGTTATTATTTCTGTTCCAAAAATGTGATTATTGTAGGTTATATTTTTCCTTTCTTTGTGTAATCTGTGTAGGACTTTGTAAGTAGTCTATAAATCTGGAGTAGAGCAAGATGGTCAGCCCTTTTGTTTGAAAGTGGTCCTCTTCTCAATGCAAATTTATTTTCAGAATCATATTAGGCTGTAGGTCACCAATGATGATGTTCAAGAAGAGTGAAGAGGGAGGAATCCCCCAAAAGACTGACACTCCTTTCAGCAGAAGGCTGGAAATATCATTTATTATATCAATGTGTGTGTTATCACAAATACACATGGGCATTATTTCCCCCCAAAATAGTTATTTCCCCCCAATACATTTCAAGAAGCTGAGGCTGACTGAAAAAATTGTTATTGTGCTCTAGAACATACGATCTCATAATGGAAACTTCTATAACTCATTGAGGCCCTCATATGCATTAGTAATTTGCCATAAAACCTACTTATATTCATTGGTTTTATGCCATAACACAGATATGGAGCCAAACAGATAAATTCACTTGCCCAAGACCATAGAGCCAGGACGCAACAACACAAAGAAAGACACACGGCTGGGCCAGACGTCTATGCTGTGCCAACTCCACTCCATTTCATCTTCACAATCAAGCCTGTAAAGTCTACACCTGGGACATGGAGAGTAAAGAGGTCAAGTGACCCAACTAGAGAATCCTTCTGACTCTAGGCTGTCATTCACCGAATTCACTTGATGGCACTCATTAAACTTCCCTTTCTATGCTAGGTGTTGGGAGTACATGGGTGAAGAAGACACATATAGTCCAAGTCTGTGGCCACTGATTTCCTAGGAGAAAGAGTCAATGAAACAAACCAATAAAAAAAAAAATCCATTCCTGGGGCGCCTGGGTGGCTCAGTGGGTTAAAGCCTCTGCCTTCGGCTCAGGTCATGATCTCAGGGTCCTGGGATCGAGCCCCACATCGGGCTCTCTGCTGAGCAGGGAGCCTGTTTCCTCCTCTCTCTCTCTCTCTGCCTGCTTGTGATTTCTCTCTCTGTGTGTCAAATAAATAAAATCTTTAAAAAAAATTAAAAAAAAATCCATTCCTGATTAGAGGGGGCTGTAAGATTGGTATTCCAGGCTATACGAGCAAAAATAATTGAGGATGAACTTATGACAGAGGTCAGCATCTGCCAAGCTTTCATAAGAAAGACGTCTCCTCTGCACAGCAATGTTAGGGAAGAAAGGTGTCCTCAGAGTCAACCTCTCAAGTTACGTTAGCAGGCACCTGGGAGAACTTCCCGCATGAAAGAATTTGTCACTCTAAGTTTTCTCCCAGCTGCAGAGAGCCAGAGTCTTCCCAGAGGCCGGATTTGTAGATCCTAAGGTTCTTTGCAAAGGCACAAAGAGCACAAGCTAATTCAATTCTCAGGACACACAGGTGTTGTGTACGTTACTGCACAAACACAGACAGGGCAGCCGCGGCTCAGAGATGTGACCACCACCCACTTCACAGCTGTCAAGAGGAAATTGCACCCCAGTGAGCACTTCCTGGACAGGAGTCCACTCACCTTCCATTTCCCGTACGCCTCAGTCCTTCCCCCCAACTGAGACTTCTCTCTCCTCATCTTTTCAGTTCGGCTCTGATCCTTACCTTCTCATCCGTACCCCCTTGATACTCCTCCGCCCATCCTTTCCTGAGTTGTCTTCCCCAACCTAGGACTTCAGATGAACCAAGAGACCCCTGGATAATGTGCAGCAAGACCAGTGAGAGCAGCCCTGGAGGCCACAGTAGCATCCCGAATCCCGAATATCCCTGAACTAGATATTCAGACTATTCCATCCCCAAACTCGTTGTCATCCACAAATTCTCTGCTAAGAGCTGCGCTAGGTTCAAGGGAGCTGTGGCAGTCTGGTCCCCAGGGCAGTCTGGGCCACAGAGCTTTATCTGCCATCTCAAGCACTCTACTCAACTTCAGGCGTATGTTATTCAAAAGGACAGATAACCACCTCTCCTCTGAACTGTACGGTGTCCCCACTCTCAGGAGAGGGCGACATAGTGTAGCGGTTAAATCCTGAGCTCAGATGTACACAGAAGTGGGTTTCGTTCCTGTTGTTCTAAATGAAACCCAGAATTTCTCTCATGAGAAGACAGACCCTTGGCTGGTGAAGTCTTTAGCGATCATTATTTATTAAGTAAGGGGCTTTGTGCAAAGAAGCAGGGCGCCAAAAGTGATGGCCACATGAGCACGAACCAAACTGGTTTTAGCCTCAAGGTGCTCGAGAACGTTCAAGCAGTGGAACTCTGGGAAAGTCACTCAATCCATTTAATCCTGCCTATAAATTAACATACAATACATGGATAAGTACTAAGGGAGGGTTAGATCATTAATATTTCCAAAGTATTCAGAGTCAGTACCTGGGATGCTTTGGATATTCTATAAAGGACTGTCTCTCTCTGTTGTTCCTTGTCCTCACCCCCAAGACGAACATCTGGTCTCCTCGCATGACGGTTGAAGGACAACATGGTCTCCTCGCGTGACGGTTGAAGGACAACATGGTCTCCTTGCGTGACGGTTGAAGGACAACAGCTTCAGATCTGTTCTGGCTGATGCCGCTCCTGGGAGAGGCTCAGGTGCACTCAGCTCCTGCCCAGAGGAGGAGATACCGAAGAGTAGTTCCGTCCATGTTGGAAGAAGCTGTTCCTGGTTCTGAACAAGGCACCTACTTCTCCCACCCTTGTTTCTCTTCGTGGTTCTGGATGCTCTAAGTTGCCGAGTTGACTTTCCTCACGGTGAGAAGGAGGCAGGAAGCCTGGCTTAAATTGGAGCTCTGGACCTCAGAGACCTTCCCTGGTCTCTGCAGATTTGGAGAAGAGTTGGTGTGAAAAACACTTTTACTGATAACTCTGTGGAGCCTTAAGGGGAGGAGGAGCCATCATGCATTGACTGACTTGCTCCTGAATGCCTGGTCTTGTGTTTGCGTCCTGGGGGATACGGATGAGTGGTAAAATCGTTCTTGCCTTTGGTTGATAAGTTTGGTTACGGAAATACGTGTTCATAACTTGTTCTGAGAAGAGCGAATGCATCTGAGGGCCACAGGAGAGGACTTGCCAGGACAGACTGGAGGCTAAGACAGCGCTGCCCATTGAAAGTGGTGGCAGGTGTGGGTATCGCACCTCCATGTTCACATCAGTGTCATCCACAACAGACAAAAGATGGGAGTCACCCAAGTGTACGTGGATGGAGGCAATGACAAGCAAACTGTGGCATATACATAGAAGGAAATTTAGCTCTCCATAATAAGGATGGAAATTCTGATGCATGCTACTACACAGTAGCATGCATGGTGGCTCAGTGGGTTAAAGCCTCTGCCTTCAGCTCGGGTCATGATCCCAGGGTCCTGGGATCGAGCTCCATATCGGGCTCTCTGCTCCGTGGGGAGCTTGCTTTCTCCTCTCTCTCTCTCTGCCTGCCTCTCTGCCCACTTGTGGTATCTGTCTGTCAAATAAATAAATAAAATCTTTAAAAAAAAAGACATTATGCTAAGTGAAATAAACCGGTCACAAAAAGATGTTGTGTAATGTCAATTATATGAGGTGCCTAGAGTAGTCAAATTCCTGGAAAAAGAGTGTAGAATGGTGGCTGGAGGAGAGAGGAAAGGGGAATTAGTGTTTAATGGGTACCAAGCGCCCATTCTTCCAGACAAAGCCTTCTGGAGATGGATGGCAGTGACGGTTACACAACATTGTGATTGTACTTACTGCCAGAGAACTGTCCATCTAAGGATGGTTAACAAGGGCAAATTTGATGTTAAATATATTTTTCCACAATTGGAATCACTACAACCTTTATACCCAACCTTAAGACATTTGTGTGACTCTTTCCACACCTTTATCCTTGCTCACACAAACATCCAGAGGCCTAAAGTATATTGACTCCTGAGGAACCTTCCAAACTGTTCTTTCTGATAAGACATTACCTTTCCTCCCAATGAAATCCAATTCAACCTTTTAAACTTCACAGGAAACTTTAGTCTCCGAAAAATATTCATGAACCCTCTCTTTTCTCTAGTCACACGGAATTAGTTCCCTTCTCTGATAAAACAGCATGGTGTGATGTGATTACTTCTGCAACCATGGCAGGCGATTGGTCAGTGTTAGTTACACATTCACGCTCCAAATGAGGTTGTAGGAATATTCTTTTTTTGTTTTGTTTTGCTTTGTTTTTTTAATGAATTAATTTATTTTTTAAATTTCTTTTCAGTGTTCCAGAATTCATTGTTTATGCACCACACCCAGTGCTCCATGCAATCCGCACCCTCCTGAATACCCACCACCAGGCTCACCCAGACTCCCACATCTCTCCCCTCCAAAACCCTCAGTTTGTTTCTCAGAGTCCACAGTCTCTCTTGGTTCGTCTCCCCTCCAATTTCCTCCAACTCCCTTCTCCTCTCCATCTCCCCATGTCCTCCGTGTTATTAGGAATATTCTGCATGGTTGGAATCTGACACATGACATTCAGCTCTTGACCCAAATCTGAACAGCTGCAGAACCTTCATGATTTACTGTCTCTGAACCTCCCTATACAATAAGATAACCCTTCCTTCCTGCCAGGTTCATTGAAGGGATAAAAGTATTTAATGCATGTAAGTCCCTGAGCTCAGTGCAAATTATATACCC